AATTTATTATTCAACAGGATCATACTTGCAAGTCTAATGAGAACATGATCCTGTCATATGTCAAAAGAAGTAATATTTTTAAATTTTTTGTTTATTCTTTTTTAAAAGGAGCCTGTTTGAGGAGCAGAAGTATAGAAGCACTCAGGTCTGTTTTTTTCCTCAAACCTTTACTCTATGTTCATGCCCACTCTTCTTGTCCAAGCACATTGTGCTACTCATTACAACATCAATACTAATGGCTTACAAAAACGATGTGCTATAACAATATGTGCAGATTTCTCAGAATAATCCTCATAGTGTTTCATCATGGCATAATCCCCAAAGCCGTAGTGATGCCTCATAGATATTGCTCAACTGCATGAAAATGCCACTTCCGCTCACAATCAGGGCTTTTCTTCAACTGTCATTTACTTCATTTCTTATTCCTTCCATTTATTTTCTCTACTCCAAATAAGTTTATCTCTTTAACATTTTAAGGTCTGGTTTTTGAGTTAATTCTACCTCCATGTTTTCTTGTGTTCCTTTAGCTCATGAGAAATGTCTGCCTTTTTAAGATTGTAGCTGTGTTCCTTACCTCTTTCTAAACCCAGGAGACGAGAGAAGGCTTTTCAGTTTAATTCAACATCATGCAGGGCAATTACTTAGTCACTAGGAGAACCTCTCTCTCCATTACTGTGTGTGTGTGTGTGTGTGCGCATATGTATTTTTGATACTAAGAACTGAACACAGGGCCTGGAGCATGCTAGGCAAGCACTCTATCACTTAGTTACACCCCTGGCCCATTTTATAATTTTGTGAGGAGCTCTTGCTAAAAGTTGTCCAGGCTTGCCTTGAATTTGTGATCCTCTTGCCTGTTTCCAAAGTAGCTGAAATTTTTTGTAGACCCTTTTGGGTCTTCTAGGTATAGAATCATGTCATCTGCAAATAGTGATAATTTAAGTTCTTCCTTTCCTATTTTTATGCTTTTAATTTCTTTCGTCTGTCTAATTGCTCTGGCCAGTGTTTTGAGAACTATATTGAATAGAAGTGGTGATAGAGGGCATCCCTGTCTTGTTCCAGATTTTAGGGGGAATGCCTTCAATTTTTCTCCATTGAGAATGATGCTAGCCTGAGGCTTAGCATAGATAGCTTTTACAATGTCGAGGTAAGTTCCTGTTATCCCTAGTTTTTCTAATGTTTTGAACATAAAGGGATGCTGTACTTTGTCGAATGCTTTTTCTGCGTCTATTGAGATGATCATATGGTTCTTATTTTTAAGTCTATTGATGTGGTGAATAACATTTATTGATTTCCATATATTGAACCATCCTTGCATCCCAGGGATGAATCCTACTTGATCATGGTGCACAATTTTTTTGATGTGCCTTTGTATCCAATTTGCCAGAATTTTATTGAGGATTTTTGCATCTAGGTTCATCAGAGATATTGGTCTGTAGTTTTCTTTCTTTGAGGTGTCTTTGTCTGGTTTCGGAATCAGGGTGATGTTGGCCTCATAGAATGAATTTGGCAGAGCTCCTTCTTTTTCTATTTCCTGAAATAACTTGAAAAGTATTGGTATTAATTCTTCCTTAAAGGTTTTGTAAAACTCCGCTGTATACCCATCCGGTCCTGGGCTTTTCTTGGTTGGAAGTCTTTTGATTGCTTCTTCTATTTCATCTATTGTTATTGGTCTGTTTAAGTTGTGAGTATCCTCCTGACTCAGTCTGGGCAAATCATATGACTTAAGGAATTTATCGATGTCTTCACTATCTTCTATTTTATTGGAATATAGGTTTTCAAAATAATTTCTAATTGTCTTCTGTATTTCTGTAGTGTCTGTTGTGATATTGCCTTTTTCATCCCGTATGTTAGTAATTTGAGTTCTCTCTCTTCTTCTCTTCGTTAGCATGGCTAAGGGTCTGTCGATCTTATTTATTTTTTCAAAGAACCAATTAGTTTTGTTAATTTTTTCAATAGTTTCTTTTGTTTCAATTTCGTTGATTTCCGCTCTGATTTTAATTATTTCTTGCCTTCTGCTACATTTGCTGTTGTTTTGCTCTTCCTTTCCTAGGGCTTTGAGATGAAGTGTGAGCTCATTTATTTGTTGGTTTTTCCTTTTTTTGAGGAATGACCTCCAAGCAATGAATTTCCCTCTTAAAACTGCTTTCATTGTGTCCCATAGATTCTGATATGTTGTGTCTGTATTTTCATTTATCTCTAAGAATTTTTTGATTTCCTCCTTTATGTCTTCTGTAACCCATTGATCATTCAGTAACATATTGTTCATTTTCCATGTGATGTAGGATTTTTCCTTCCTTCTTTTATCATTGATTTCCAGTTTCATTCCATTATGATCAGATAAAATGCATGGTATTATCTCCACCCCTGTATATTTACTGAGGGTTGCCCTATGGCATAATATATGGTCTATTTTTGAGGAGGATCCATGTGCTGCTGAGAAAAAAGTATATCCACTTGATGATGGTTGATATATTCTATATATGTCAGTTAAGTCTAGGTTGTTGAAAACTACTAGAACTAATAAATGAATTCAGCAAAGTGGCAGGATATAAAATCAACACGCATAAATCAAAGGCATTTCTGTATATCAGCGACAAAACTTCTGAAACGGAAATGAGGAAAAACACTCCATTCACAATATCCTCAAAAAAAATAAAATACTTGGGAATCAACCTAACAAAAGAGGTGAAAGATTTATATAATGAAAACTACAAAACCCTAAAAAGAGAAGTAGAAGAAGATCTTAGAAGATGGAAAAATATACCCTGTTCATGGATAGGCAGAACTAACATCATCAAAATGGCGATATTACCAAAAGTTCTCTATAGGTTTAATGCAATGCCAATCAAAATCCCAACGGCATTTCTTGTAGAAATGGATAAAGCAATCATGAAATTCATATGGAAAAATAAAAGACCCAGAATAGCAAAAGCAATTCTAAGCAGGAAGTGCGAATCAGGCGGTATAGCGATACCAGACTTAAAACTATATTACAGAGCAATAGTAACAAAAACAGCATGGTACTGGTACCAAAACAGGAGGGTGGACCAATGGTACAGAATAGAGGACACAGAGACTAATCCACAAAGCTACAACTATCTTATATTTGATAAAGGAACTAAAAGCATGCAATGGAGGGAGGATAGCATCTTCAACAAATGGTGCTGGGAAAACTGGAAATCCATATGCAACAAAATGAAACTGAATCCCCTCCTCTTGCCATGCACAAAAGTTAACTCAAAGTGGATCAAGGAGCTAGATATCAAATCAGAGACTCTGCGTCTGATAGAAGAAAAAGTTGGCTCCGATCTACATATTGTAGGGTCGGGCTCCAAATTCCTTAATAGGACACCCATAGCACAAAAGTTGATAACAAAAATCAACAAATGGGACTTACTTAAACTGAAAAGTTTTCTCTCAGCAAGAGAAACAATAAAAGAGATAAATAGGGAGCCTACATCATGGGAACAAATTTTTACTCCTCACACTTCAGATAGAGCCCTAATATCCAGAGTATACAAAGAACTCAAAAAATTAAACAATAAGAAAACAAATAACCCAATCAACAAATGGGCCAAAGACCTGAACAGACACTTCTCAGAGGAGGACATACAATCAATCAACAAGTACATGAAAAAATGCTCACTATCTCTAGCAGTCAGAGAAATGCAAATCAAAACCACCCTAAGATACCATCTCACTCCAGTAAGATTGGCAGCCATTATGAAGTCAAACAACAACAAGTGCTGGAGAGGATGTGGGGAAAAGGGTACTCTTGTACATTGCTGGTGGGACTGCAAACTGGTGCGGCCAATCTGGAAAGCAGTATGAAGATTCCTGGGAAAGCTGGGAATGGAACCACCATTTGACCCAGCTATTGCCCTTCTTGGACTTTTCCCTGAAGACCTTAAAAGAGCGTACTACAGGGATACTGCTACATCGATGTTCATAGCAGCACAATTCACAATTGCTAGACTGTGGAACCAACCCAGATGCCCTTCAATAGATGAATGGATAAAAAAAATGTGGCATTTATACACCATGGAGTATTACGCAGCACTAAAAAATGACAAAATCATAGAATTTGCAGGGAAATGGATGGCACTAGAGCAGATTATGCTTAGTGAAGCTAGCCAATCCCTAAAAAACAAATACCAAATGTCTTCTTTGATATAATGAGAGCAACTAAGAACAGAGCAGGGAGGAAGAGCAGGAAGAAAAGATTAACATTAAACAGATACATGAGGTGGGATGGAAAGGGAGAGAAAAGGGAAATTGCATGGTAATGGAGGGAGACCCTCATTGTTATACAAAATTACATATAAGAGGTTGTGAGGGGAATGGGAAAATAAACAAGGAGAGATATGAATTACAGTGGATGGGGTAGAGAGAGAAGATGGGAGGGGAGGGAGGGGGGATGGTAGAGGATAGGAAAGGTAGAAGAATACAACAGTTACTAATAGGGCATTATGTAAAAATGTGGATGTGTAACCGATGTGATTCTGCAATCTGTATTTGGGGTAAAATTGGGAGTTCATAACCAACTTGAATCTAATGTATGAAATATGATATGTCAAGAGCTTTATAATGTTTTGAACAACCAATAAAAAAAAAAAACAAAGTAGCTGAAATTACAGTTGTGCACCACTATGCCTAGCTCTTAATATGTTCTTGAAACACTTTGTTGCTCTTTAATTTCTAATTCAACCATGATTCCTAAATTCACATAAGTTGAAATGTCATGGTTTCCAAACATATACATTACTAGATATTATTAGAATATTGAGAAATTCTTTAAAAATAGTTTCTGAGGCTCCCTACCCGAGACATACTGAAATCAAATTTCAAACATTTAGGTAACATGAGCTATTTTGTATTTTAAAGCAATCTCCCTAGTAGATTTTAATGCAATAAATTTTCTGAGCTTGTATTGTGTACTATCATTTTAAACATTCTATAAATGATATTAGCTGAGGGTAACAGAATGTAGGTATACACACCTTTCTGTCCAGGCATGTAGATGGATTTATCTGTCTGCACAAAGACCACATTTTCCCTGGGGCTGATTGCCACAGCTCTTCTCTCTTCCAGATTGATTGTGCCTCCTTTAGCAGAGAATGTGATGAAAGCCACTGGGTCCAATCTGGCCTGAGGAACCTAGGGAGCAAATAAATACATACTTCATGAGACTGGTGTTTGGCAGGAGATCTCCATGACTAATTGTGCGTTATTAACCAGTGAATTTAAATCCATAACTTGTTGTTTCCATTTATTGAATAACCCACCTTGTTCATTTTTCTTGCTTCTGTCACATCATTTAGATAAATTATCTCATCATTTAAATAAATTCTCCTTTATCTTTTTTGTTGTTGCTGTTGTTGTTGATGGTACTAGGGATTGAACCCAGATCCTTGCACATGCTAGGATGCTAGGTAAGTACTCTACCACTGAGCTGCGTCTCTAGCCTTCTTAAAATATTCCATTTCTCTCTGTGTATATGTATGTGTGTATGTGTGTGTGTGTTTTCTTCTCTTCAATAAATTTCTTTTAAAATAGTAAATAGACTTTTCTCCTTGCCTCCATTTATAACTGTACTTACATTATCTGAAACTGAGGAGTATATTGTTTTTGAAAACATTAAAATAACTTTATATAGACAGGCAAATAACATTTGTCCATAAAAGTCAGTTTTGTGGGTGCCTTTCATGCCCCTGCAGTATTTTCTCTATAGTGAGCAGAATGAAATGTTTACCTCAAAGCTGAAGCATTTGAAGACATTTTCTCCTGTAACCTGCTCTTCAAGTATTTTGGTCTGGACCTCACCATAGTTGATGGAGACAGTCAAAACAAGAAACTCAGTCACATTAAAAAGCTGAACACAAGCTTTATCCAAAGAGCCTTCTTGGAGAACAGAAGGGACCAGCAGAACATACTGCCTACAAAATTTAAGCAGGAACATTAAAATTGTCAAAGAAATGATTTGATACTTAGCTATTATTTAGTTATCTAAAGGATTGCAGTTTAAGAAATATGTATTGTTTTTCAATGTTAGAGACATACAGCATGCTAAATTAGAGGATGTTAAATTCATGAAATAGGAATATGCTGCCTGTGAGTTGGATTCGTGAATTCAACAAGAATAATACCACTTGCAAAAAAGCAAGTAATTTGTCATTCGTTCTATGAAAATTACCATCTGTGTCTTCATGCAGTGCTTTTGCTCGTGAACTGATACGCACATTCCATTTCATTTTTGCCTAGTGTTTGTCTAGCTTTTTTCCCCCAGCAATTGTTTGACATCTCTTCATTGGTATAAATATTGTGTTATAATTTAATCAGCAGACATGCTAACAGCGATAATGGTACCGTTCAAATTCAGAATTCATTATACAAATTAACATGTTTACTATGCTGTGTAAGGATATATTTAAAATCTAATCAATGCAATAAAAATATAACAAGTTCTGATTTTTAATATCAAGCTCTATTTGGGTTCCACATGAAATAACAAAATTCTATGCAATCACTTACACTTGGGGAGACTGAGAAAGAGACAGATGAAAGAGAAGAACACCCAGAAGTATTTTCATCCACTTCATGATCCAAATAGACAAAGAAGTCAATAGACTGTGCTCGTTATATCCACACGTGGGTCAATGTGCTGGAAGCTCAGACATTCTCACGGCCCAAGAAAGCCAAGTGTGGAGAGCTATATATCCGTGCAATACTTCTAGGACCATTTCCTGAATCATTCCTAAAGAATAACACAAGTAATCCAACTGGATACACTTTAGAAATTTTAGTCACCTCCCTGTAATCAATCATGTCTATTATGTTACTAGGGTGTCATTTGAGTGTCATCATCTTCTGACGAAAAATACTCCTAGAGTTAATACATAATGACTATGAGTGACTCTTTCTAGCACGAATGAAATTTCATTCCAATAAATTCAATCATTAAAAATAAATTGGTATCTTGCTAAATCATTATTTTGTGGTTGAGAACTAAATCTGTGTTGAAAATAACAGTATTGATTTTTGGTTGGCAATAGTTCCATGTAGACATTAGAATTGGAATAATGTAAAAATAATAGAAATGGACTTATGGAAGCTCAGATTGGAAAAATAAAAGATTCAAACATGATCATGTGATTTTACTTATTAATTGTTGATGTTGTATTTTCCATATAGTATAATTTGCATGCCAAATATATACTTGAAATTCTAAGTCAAGAGGAAATAATTAATTCCAGTTCTCAAATATTCAAAGGAATAATTATAAGAAAAATAAAGATAGTAATCAACAAAATTTATTGTTATAAAATTATCTTCTCTTGCTCTTATGTTTAAAAATGTAGCAAAGTGCATAATAAATGGCACATATATTAACTTATTTAGAAAGAGCAGTTGGCTTCTTAAAGATAAATTTAGATTACTATATTGATATAACTATAGAAAGTCACATTTCACTTAAAGCAAACTGATACCCAAAAATCCTTGGAAAAAATGCAATAAAATGTTTTGTTTTGGTTTGGTTTTAGTTCTTTTTGTACCTCCTACCTCAGCCCCCTTTACTTTACCAAGGTTAAATCCCTTTTTAGTTCTTATAAATAGAACCAAATAGAGTAGAAACAATCTGAGGAGGAAATGAGGACATAACTTTCACTACCATAGTCAGGCAAACTTAAGATGAATCTGAGTTAGGTAGGCCTCATCAAGGCCTAAGTGAACATATCAAAGTATATTAGCAAGAAAGTTTTTGAAAATCACTTTTTAAATTAAATTTTAGTCTTTCCCATTACAAATTTATTGCCAAGTGTTTTGTGTCCTTTATCACTAGAGTTTTGATTAAGTAAGAAGCCCTTGGAAGGATAATCTCACAATTGCTGTGGTTTCATCATATTACCACGTCTGTAATTAGGCTCTGCCTCTAATATTGCCCTTTTTACTAAACAGAAAATCCATTTTATATCGAATAAAAATCTTTTTTTTCCTAAGAGGCAAATTAATTACATAAATTTTTCTTTAAAACTCTCTAGTGTTCTGCTACTGCCTATTAGATAAATCCCAAACTCCAGCAAGTTTCTTCTTACTAAGGTACTTGTATACTTTTGTACCCACCATTTCCCTACAGACAGTTTTTGTTTTCTTCCATGAAAACACTAGCAGTTTCTTAGGTCTGCCATGCTCTTTCATCTTTCCATGTACATTTATGTGTCTAGACTCTCCCTCTCTCTCACTATTTCTGACTTCCTTTTTACCAGGTATACATTTCCTTCTCATTCTTCGTTACTCAGTTCAAATTTTGTGACTCCCAAGATGAAATTGGCTATTGCTTCCCTAAACTCTTGTTACTTAGGTACAAATTTCTATTACAGGATGTCATTTTATACCATAATTGTTTGTTTTCATGTCATATGTGCAACTTAGCTGTGAGAATCACAAAGGCACAGCCTGTGGATTTGATTTGTTGCTGGCTTTCCAACAGCTGGGATATTGCAAGTCTCTGAAGTAAGTAAGCACCCTTCACTCTCAGACTTGGTGAGCAAACCCACTTATTGGGGTGCTGTCTTTCTATCCAAGGAGAGCACACTGGCTTTTGATGCAAAAAGGCAGACACCCCTTTCTGGGTAATAATGTCTTCTCCTAGGCTTCTACAGTTCTGCATTGCACTCAATGCAAATGGAATAATGCCAATCATGATATAATCTTCAGGTCAGCTTAGTGAGGTATTCATTTTTATTTACTTCTATTGTATTTATCCCTAACTCCTCCTAGAAAGATAGCTTGGTATTTTATGGTTCTTCATCTACAAGGTTTTGACCAAATATGAAGAAAACTGAACCCTCTCACTCAAGAGTGTGGACTTTACACCTTTAATCTACTACTTTTTTTTATATGCCAGATAGTTTAAAGTCTCAGACTGGTGATCATTTATGATATTATTTATGAAAAGCAGTACCAAAATCTACTACTCTTTCTGTTTTTCCATTACTGACTCCTTGGGGTCTGTTTTCCCCTTCCTATAAGACTCACTACAAAGTGTGAATCTAAAATGGTCACTTAATATTTGAAAAATGCAGTCAGACATTTGCTTCTATATAGAATACCCTTACTAAATAAAATGCACAACAGAAATCACAGCAGTAGTGGGGGATACCTGGAGGTCCAATGCCTTCCAAAATCTTACTAACTTATTACAATTTGGAAGTCCAAGTCTAACATCAATAACAGAAAGTTCACATAAAAATGTTAAAAACACAAATACATGCAAATGTTCAAATTATTGAGTAGGAGGAAAATTTGCAGAAAATTTCTCTTTTATAAGGTGAATAAAATTTATATTTACACACATACATATAATTTGATTTGGTAAAGGCAATTATAATTTTAAATACATGACTAATAACTCTCTGGAAAATAAATTTATGTCAACATTGAGCTTACTACATTGGCCTATATGAAAATGCTCTGTATTGCTAAGTAGCACCTAAAATTTGTATACCTGGGGCTCACATTTAGAAATATGGTTTCTCTTTCCATAAAAGTCCAATGCTTATGGAATGATTCTCTTTATATTATTTATCCTTATATCTTTTACAATAAATTTCATCTTACTGAGAGTAGGATTGCTTATTTTTGAGATGTCTCCCCAGATCTACAAAGTAACTGCACATTAAATGTTATCTACACAGATACATAGTTACATATCTCCATACTAGACCATCTAAATTTTATAAAGGTAATATAATTGTTTTAAAGGAAACATTAAGAAATACAGAAAGATATATGCACATATGAACACAGATCTGAACAAGGATTTTTTGATTAAGTCAATAAAAAGCAATGTTATTTGCATAGAGGATACATAGCAATTATTTCTGATTTTCAGGCCACCTCATGGGGAATTCCCCTTCTAATGTAAGAAAAGATTTTACTATTTATAAGAAGAGAAAGACATCATTAATAAATTTAAGGGTGTGGTGTAGAGAGTGGAGAAAATGATGGCGTGGGTTTTCAGGAAATTGGGTCATACTATTTACAGGGTATATGAAAATCCCTTTTCATTCACCTACATCCTAATATCCATTCCCTCATCCTGTGAAACAGAGATTTACCTCATCACAACTATTAAAAAATGTATTGGTATAAGTCCTCCTTAGAATTACTATAAGAGCTTCAAGCATTCCAAATAAAATTTGAACAAATGCTCCTAAATTTAAGACTATTGTTCTAGTCAAGGATGTATTTGGAATACCTCAAATTGATTTTTCCCCAAAGAGCAGCAATTATTTTAATGAAAAGTTCAGTAATTATTAATTAAAATATAAATAAGATTATTATGAGTTATTTTGTGGATATATGGCAAGAATTTTATTCTGGTGATACATACTGTGTTTTTATTTACAGTGACTTCTTATATTTAAAATAAGAGAAAAATTTATATCTAGATATCTTTGTCTACAGTGCAAAATGATTGAAGAATATATAAGTAACATATATTCTTAAAAAGTAAATAAGTCATATATTCTCATGAAAAGTAAAAAGAGTAAGAATAAATTATGCTTCCATTCCTAGTGAAAGGATATTTTTTACTTCAATGTCAATTTTGAAATATAACCTCTCATTTTTCCTACATCCTGCCATATTTTCTGATTCACTTTCTTTATAGTGTGGTAGTATTCCTAAAGGGAATATTAAGAAAGTCACAACTTCAGGAAAGAAACCTAATCATTTTGCAACCTTTGCTGTCATCAGTTTGCATAACATTCAGTGTCTCTTCTCAGGTAGAGTTGAAAGGCTTAGGGGAAATTTGCCAGGAACTTAAACTATGAGTCATTTAACAAATGAGAACTTGGCTTTTCCCAGAAGAACCTGTTCTTAACAAGGGCTCTTTCCAGAACCTCAGTGGGTAGGTATTTCATGCTGTATAAGGTAAGCAGTGTTTACCTGTCTTCTCCCTGAAAGTCTCTCCTTGTGTTGAGATCCAAAGGTGAATGGACTCTGGTGGAGCTGTGTCAGGGTAGATAGAAGCTTGCATCCTCTAGATTACCACTACTGAACATAATAGAGTATCTGTAAACTTGTTTGATCTGGCATTAAGTTATCATGGCAAGTCATACACATTTCCAGAAACTTATTGCCACAGGAAGCAGGTGGAGTCTTGGAGGCAGAATGTGGTTGGGAAATGAATGCCCTTTGCTGGGTGGGAATGGTTTACAGTAGATGCAGTTCTTTTTCATAAAAAATAGTTATGTTTTTGTTGGGGCTGAGAGGACTACATTTACACTGACTTTTAAATGTTCGTATATGACCATCATCTTTTTAGGGTACAATATTTTCCTTCCTTTCCTCATAAGGCAGTGATAGAGAAGGCCTTACAGCTGGTATTTAGATCCTGGTTGTACCACTTACCAGATAAGTGAACCGGATGAGTGGCTTAAATTCCCTGTGTTTCTTTTTGTGTATACTTGGGAATAATAACAGTTAAGTCATAAATGTATAATAAGAATTAGATATATCAATATACTTAAAGGGATTAGCAAAGTGACTGACACATAGCAAACATTTGGATAAATCCTTACAATGATGAAATGTC